TTCTCTTATCAATAAAACTAATTATTTTAAAACCTATTTACTGAGTTATTATGTAATATTAAATATTTTGTAATGCTATTTTTTTTTTCTTTATATTTATTTGTCAAACCATATTCAATTTATGATTCTTAAATGTCTACCTATATTTTATGTTTTCAAAATCAAAACTATAAATCTATAAAGCTTAACAMCAATAAATGATATTCTTTTTACGCCTCTTACAACTATATTTCATCATAAATACATATTGTGTTTTGTGTGAATTGTGTTGATGAATATTTTTAATAAAAATACTAATCTAAACTAAAGCATAATATTTTGATGAAAATTTTGTTGTATAAAATGTATTGAATTATTTCATAATTTGGTCATTTACTATACATTGTAACTTATAAGTTATAAATTGTATGTWGTAAATCATAAATTTGACGTTTAAACATAGATTTGTAGTTGATGTTTATACATAAAAAAGTTCTGTTTCATATATTATTGAAAATAAGAATATAGGTTGCCTTTTAAGAATCAAACAATGGTTGTATTTTCTCTGTCAAATATAAGGAAGAGGGGCTACATGAAATGTAATATTTATGTGTAAATGTATTTTTTTAGTAAATTTATTATAACAGACAAAAACTTTATAAAAACTAAGAATAAAATATACGTTTTTAAGTATTTAAGTGTTATTTATTTAATGATACAGTTTTAAAAATTAAAAGCAAATTCTACCTGATTTTTTAATATTGGTTATTAGTTATTACACTTTATATTATTAGGACTAAACATTTTAATAATTAGCATAAAGTATTAAAATTGCAGGTACCTATCATAAGGCATAAGGYATAGGAAACATTTTAACCCATATTGATATTTTAACGAACAATATTCAATAATCAACTATCAGCATAATRCAATGTCGAATTAATAATAATAATTATGTGTAATGTTAATCATGTATTAATGTCAAATCATCAAATACGTATGACCTGATAAACGATATTGCCCCGGTTAAAGAAAGTCGTGATTTAAAAAACCTGATTCTTAAATAAATGACGTTCAAGTCCGGAAGACCCGTAGAAAAAATACAAGCAGTTAAATTGCAGTGAGTGCYTAGCTATAGTCCTTTTATAATTATTACTTATTATTTTCAATTTTAGGTACGAATAATGAATATTAATTATTGTATTATAATATGGATTGTGTAAAACAAAATTAATTGAAAAATGTCAACTGACGAATAAGAAATCGAATGGAATTTTTGAAAGTTTATCAGACGGATCGCCATCCGCAGTATAGTTAACWGCAATAKAACGCGTACTTATAACGAACAACATACTTTTTTTTATACATATATATAAATCGAGAATACGCTTACTTCGTCGCACTACAGTGCCTAATATAATTGTTGGCGTGTGCGGCAGATGCAAGTCCGGTCATCATCATCCCCCTCGCGGCGTCGGYGCGACCCTTTCACCGGAGGGTCGTGCGTGTGGTGGGCGGCCGCTGAGCGCATGTGCACTGGGAGGGTTAAAAACGTCAATAGGATAATATGCTGTTCGCAGCAGTGTACATCAGCAGCGTCTTTCCGACTTTCCCGTCGGTTTTTTAGTAGTGCGGAAAACGAATAAAAATCCACTGGGAAAACGATAGTACGTCACACATCGACATCGACGGTACCGCGATGGTGGAACCGGAAGTCGAAGACGTTGCCTTTTTGACAGCCATTAACCATTACAGTGAGTATAATATGAAATATTATTTAATCGAATGTACAAAATACGCGCTCACACACACATAAACAACGATACGTGAATGTCGTCCGAATAAGCCTATGATAAATTATAGCTATTACGCGGAAAATTGTTTTCATGTTATAATAAAATATTATTTTTTGAATTTTTCTTTTTTACCAGGAGATAATCAGGACATGATGCACAAGTCTGGRATATACGAGCACACGGCCGTCACGGCGTGTTCTCGGAGAACAGCGTTGATCATGGCCGGCACTACTCTGTTCCTCATGTTTCTGTGTTCGGTGCTCATCGCTTACGCCGGACCTCAAAACGGTGAGATATAGTTTCTCGTTACAAAAAAAGATTTATCCTGTATGCATTATATTATAATAACATTAAACTAGCACGCGACGACGCAGATAGTACCTACCTATGCTTATATATATGATAGGTACAATATAACATCATGCGTATATATATATTTAGATTTTACATGATATTAYTGGTGCGCACTTGGAAAACCAACCACCCCTTGAAATTGGTTTCAATTGATCATACCCTATAATTAAGTAGTCGAAACAGCGCTGTGTTACTTGGTTTGCAAACTAAGTCAATAATTTTCAGTAGACATGCACGTGGRTAAATGTTACCTATTACGTAGTACCGTTTAAAATAAATAGTAATTTAATATCGCTGTTGCATGTTCCGTAACAAGTGTATTTATTTTTTTATTGTCAGAGTTTAACGATTTGTTGTTTTTCGTTAGTTCATCGTTTATATCTATATATATGTATACTACATACATATTACCTGTTAATAAAGGTCTTTAAGTATAACTGGGCAAAACACGATTATAACAATTATTATTATTATTTTGTAAACTACAAGTTATAAATATAGTTAGCAAATTTTGATAGTTTTGATGAAATTTGTCAACTTTGAAATTCAAATGCTAATAAAACAATCGTCCCTATCTTTAACATCGATACATTAAATTTTCGAACTTTCTGTCCGCATGAACGGTTGTAGCTATTAGATGGGAGGACAAATTATTAATTAGATGAAAAAAAAATTAAATTAAATAGACAAACATTTAATTTTTTTTCAATTTATCTATGATATAATTTTTATTTATGGTTAAAAAAGATAAAAATTAAATGCAAGGTTCTTCATAGTAGTTGTAACATGTTCTTAGCACAATTTAATAAAAAATATTAAAAATATACAATCACTTTGTTTTGAGAATCGTACCTATAATGTTCTAATTTTAAAAATATTATTTTATGCTAAATGACAAATGTTAATTATTTTTCCTTGAGCCGTATATACTGAATGATAAAATAATGTAGGAACAGTTATAATATTATGTGTAATGCGTGGAAACATTTTTTTGACCTACAATTTATGATTTTAAAATGTAATAGTTGTAAGATATCCAGGAAGAGGGAATCCACCAATGTATATTTGAATATTTCAATGAAAACTGGCTATGTCCAAATTAGTTTAATAATGATTATAGGRCACTTTACGRCCATACATAAAATATTATATATATATAATTATCAAACAAGAACAACATTCTATAATAAATCCAATAATAAAATATTACCAATCACATATTAATTCTGTATTTATTACGATTTTTTTTCAGATTGTCCGTGTATTGGTGAAAAACCAGTGTTTTTACCCGACGATGACGGAGTCAATAGATCTCGATCAGTTATACCGATCGCTACCAACGGCGACATATTTCCATGGAACAACGTGCGTTTGCCAACATTTGCTAGACCCTATAGTTACCACATTAGAATACATCCAAATCTAACCAGCTTAGACGTAAAAGGTATGAACGATATGGTTAATTAAATCGCCACATTTAATTGTAGTTTTTAACGTGGATGATTATATGTTTTATAGGTCAAGTATTAATTAACTTTAGACTCSTTCGGGATTCTGACTACATAGTCTTTCATAGTAAAAATCTTACTATAGTTGAAAAAGTGAGTTTTTTAAATAATAATTAGTACAGCGCACGATTATCGCATTGGTTTTTAACTTTTTTTTTAATCGAATAGCGTGTAGTGGATGCTGACAATCACGAAAAGATTTACGAAGTGTCCAGAATGTTGGAATACTCTGCTGGCCAGCAAATACTATTGGAGTTCGAAGAAACGTTGTCCGCCGACCACAATTACACCCTGATTATAAAATACACGACTCGGTTGAGCAGAGAGTTGGAAGGTTTTTACATAAGTAGTTACACAACGAGCAAAGGCGAAAGAAGGTAAGTTACTTAGGTACTGCAAATTAACGGACTAGTTTGTAGGCGCAAATAATCATATATAAATAAAAATATGTAAAACAATAAAAGGCATTTAATTTAATTTGATAGTCGAATTTT